AACCTCGTCCCCCGGGAGGGTGAGTGGCTGTCTCAGCTCTCTGCCTGTGTTGGCAGCTTTAAATACCCGAGGACGACATGTTATGTTTTCGGCCTGAAGGGGCAAAAGAGAAGCAGCCCTTTCAAAATAAGAATTCCCCCGCTGTTTGTTTCCTTTTGGCACACAATAAGAACAGAGCGAGGACACGATTCTGAGCTGTCAACGCTTCCTCCCTGCTTCCACTGCACCTTCCGTTTGCCAGAAAAAAATTTGCTTCAGTTAAACAAGGGTCTAATGAATAGTCAAAGTAATTGTTTAGCTTGGATATAAGGCCTTAGGTAAACAGATGATTGCTTGAGACCGTGGGCCAGTAAAAGCAGTGCAGTAGGACGCCACTCGTTCTGTTCTTCGGACCAGTGGCCTCTGCTCCTCCAGGGACCATGGTTACTGAACGATTTCTCTCTTCCCACGAGCATGCTGAAGCAATTTAATATCAGAAGGGGCTCATGAAAGCAGGGAGAAGGAGCAAGAACTTTCTATATGAGAAATATATACTGAAAACATTCGTTTTACCCCATTCAAGCTTTGATTCAATAGAACACTGAAGCTACGGAATCTTTGGTTTGTTTGTATTTAACTTTTCATGTTGAAGAATTTCTAAAATGCATTGTTAGCCCACTTACAGTTGTCCTGCCTCCTGCCTCATTAGTATTTTGAATATGATTTCATCCTTCTTCAAAGCAATTAGCTGCCACACCTAAAGGCCATCGTTAGGTTCATGAGTATCTGCTTCCAAGACTATAATAATAGTTACAGAAAGAATAAACACTGCAACGGAACCTTTCGGGTTTTGTAGTTTGTTGTTGTTGCTGTTGATTTGTTTTGTTTGTTTAGGTATTTTTTCTATCAACATGCTTCACTGTTACTTGTCTCTTTTTCTCAGAAGTGGGCTGGCATCATAAAAAAATTATCTTAATTAAGAGCCTCGGTAAATTAGTTGCCAGGTCGTTTGAGTTCTGCTGAATAATATTTTTAATAATTGCTTTCCATTTCTTACTTGAAAATAATAAATGCCTTGTTGATCCAGAGCAGGATTTGGTTGTCTTATTCATGCAGCCCATTTCCACTGAACTGCTATTTGAATAAACAGCATCTATCTGATTGAATCTCAAATTCATCAAGGGGGTAGATTCCCCTGGTATTTAGTTTCCTGGAATCATGATGAATATATATTTGGTTTATGGGCAACTAGCAATCAGAGCATACATTATGCAATAAAAAGTTAATGCTTAACTGTTTATACAGTTTTTTTATCCTGATGCTATAGGAGCAGGGTTGGTTAAGAACATGGGTTTTGGAGCCAGTTCTGAGTTTGAGCACGAGCTCCCCACTCACTAGCTCTGAGCACAGACAAAATATCAAATTTCCATTAGCTTCAGTTTCCTCATCTGTGAACGGTATAATAATAATCCCTCCTTCATTGGGTTGTTGGGTAGATGATATGAGATAACGCATGTGAAATGCTCAGCACAGCATAAGTATTCAATAATGTTAATCATCGTGTTATTTTTCAGGCACCTGATAATTTCCTCACAACAATCCTGTGGGGAGGTGGGGGGGGGAATGCTATATAATGCAAATTTAAATATTAGAAAACCGGACCTCGAAGTAGTTATTGATTTGCCCAAGGTCACCAAGGTGGCAAAATTCTGATCCTCTCAGTAACAAGCGTTTCCTGACTCTCAGCAAATCACCACCACCCCCCCTTTACCCGTTCCGCCACCTGGTGCTGTCTCCTCACGATTTCTCTAAATCTGAAGTCTAAATCTAAAGTCATGAGGACGGGCCACCTCTGCCTTAGACCCTCAGATGGACAAAAGGAATAAACTCTGGAAGAGGCTTTAAAACCCACATTGATATTAGACAGAAATTTTCTGGGAAAATAGTATCTTCAGAACTACAAAGTCAGGATGAACTCTTTGGTAACACTGAGAAGCAAATACTAGTGAGGAAGTGAGTTCCAATTAGTGAGCTTGAAACCCATAGGAGAAGCCCAAAGGGATGACACAACAGGTGAACAAATCCACAAGCCGAGCCAGCTTTAGACCAAATGAAGACAGTCTCATCTCTACATAGGTTTTCTTTTATTATTATTTATTTATTTATATGGTTGAGCCAGGTCTTAGTTGCAGCAGGCTGGCTTTTTAGCTGTGGCTTGCTGCCTCCCTAGTTGTGGCATGCAAACTCTTAGTTGTGGCATGCATGTGGGATCTATTTTCCTGACCAGAGATCGAACCCGGGCCCCCTGCATTGGGAGTGCGGAGTCTTAACCGCTACACCACCAGGGAAGTCCCAGTCTGCCTAGGTTTTCAAGTGTGTGTCTATCTTACTGTCACTCATAAAATATAAATTCATTCAAAGGCAGTGCTGCATTTGTTGTATCATTTTTAACATGCTGTATTTTCTTGATAAATACTAAAAGCACAGCTTCTATCATGTGGAGGTCTATGACTTTTTTTTAACTTTAAAAACCAGGTGCGCACACTTCATAGACAAAAAATCAATGGTATTGAGAGGAGAGATCTTTGCCTATGAAGTTTAACAAGCTAGATTTAAGGACTGGCCCTGCTAATTATAAGCTTAAAGCACCATAAACTCAGGCAGTCAATTAAAGTCAATAGACAAATGGATAAAGAAGATACGGTATAGATACACAATGGAATATTACTCAGTCATAAAAAAGAATGAAATTCTGCCACTGCAGCAACATGGGTGGGCCTAGAGAATACTATGCTTAGTGAAATTAGTCAGACAGAAAAAGACAAAAACTGTATGATATTACTTATATGTGGAATCTAAAAATTAATACAAGTGAATGTATATAGCAAAACAGAAAGAGACAGATACAGAAAACAAATCAGTGGTTACCAGAGGGGAGAAAGAAGAGGGGAGGGGAAAGATAGGGTTATCAGATTAAGAGATGCAAACTACTATGTATAAAATAGATAAGCAACAAGGATATACTGTATAGTACTAGGAATTGCTGTCATTATCTTGTAACAACATTTAAAGGAATATAATCTGTAAAAACACTGAATCACTATGCTATACACCTGAAACTAATATAATATTGTAAATCAACAACACTTCAATAAAAAATAATAAAAGTTTAAACATGCATATAAAGTCAGTCTACTGAGTGCCTTTAAGGGGTCTGAGTCCTGAGCTGGGGCCAGTAGGGTGAATAGCAATCGTTCACCCTCTCTTCTGAGCCTCTATTTTCTCACCTATAAAGTAAGGGTAGTAATATGACTCTCCTCACAAGGCTATTGTGAAGATCCAATGAGAAAAACAAGAAAATAAATATACAGTGATGTTTGTGAAAGTGCTTTGTAAACTCTTTAGAGAGTTATAAACATACGGTGTTGAAGACAACTCGAGGAGAGGAAAACTCTTCAGCTTTTTCTGGTGGCTTTCCTATGACTATTGACCATCCAGCCCCAAGAATTTATCAAATACTAGCATTCTCTTCTTTAATGTCAGATTATATTCATATTTTTAAATGTACTTTCCCATCTCTTCTCTCCTCCTCCCACTTTACTGTGTTCTATAAATTGTAATGTTCTTTAATATCAATATGGCACTACAGTATCAGATTATACAAAACATTAAATAAAGCATCAGTATAAAATTCAAAGCAAAGAATAGCCCAAGGGCTCACAGCTTACAGTTTACAAGCCCATGTGTACACAAGGCCCATCTGTGAGGGATATTTTAAACACTGTCAATTGCATGGGTTATAGCTGATGGAGATCTCGTCCAGGCTCTGGTTAACTCCAGGAGTTAATGAGAGAAGACTGTTCCTGCTTTGTACTCGTAGGCTGAGGCCCTAGTGCCATCTCTTGTTTTGGAAAGAGTGGTTTATGGAAATGGAAGCATCACTCTTGGAACTGAAACCTTCCCCAATTCAAGTCTTCCGGAAATATATTAGGTCTACTATATTTTTACCTCTCCTCTGATTCCGTATTATATGTACTAATTGGTGAATTTGGTCATTATATCTATTCTTGTTAATAGAAGACATTCACTTAGAGTTTGCTAAGTACCAGACAACACACAAAGCACTACAGAGAAATGCAAAACACATAATATGCGTGATCCCTGCCTTGCAGGATTGTAGAAGGAAAACCAGCATTTATTTCCAGGCAGCAAGTGTTATTTCAGATTCTCCAACCAATGACACCTTGAAGTGAGTAACTGAGGCTCAGAGAAATACATTTTCTAAGCTCACACAGCTAGCAAGTGTCTGAGCCAGGTTTATCCAAGGTCTACCTTGTTCTGAAGTCCACGTGAAACCTTTCCACTCACCTTCACTACTTTCCTTAATTGGGGAAAGTGAACACAGACATTAAAGGAAACCTACAAATGAATAAGGACTAGAAATTCTACAGACTCATAAGTGCAAGGGAGACTGAGGGTCTAAAGTACCCGGAGCTAGACTGGCCCTGATCTGAGCAGATTCTCAAGCAGGTCAATGAATGATACAACCTGAGAAACAAGGTGGATGCCAGCCAGAAAAAAAACAAAAACAAAAACAATAACTGTGCTGGAACCAAGAAAAGTAGCACTGTGGGCAATTAAAACTTCTAATTAGAATAAAAGCTATAATCCCAGCACACCGTTTTGTCCTCCAGATTAAGATGCTTCATCTTTATGGCACTAGGAAGAATAAAAAGGACTATGGAAACTTTGTAAGTTACCAAAATGTTCACAGACCTATCTTCCAGGCAAATAGAAAGGAGCGCTGCTTCATTTGTTAGAATATTGCCAAGTTCATTACACTCAGCATTCATTAAATATCCCTTCCCACATAGCGCTCTCTTAAACAAGGTGAATGGAATCATTTTTCCCCTGTTATTTGGTGTAGGTTCCAGTGACATAAGTGGGTAGGAGGATTTACAGAGGAAAAGTGAATACACTTGGCAACGTTTTCAAACATTTGCTTGGATTTTGTTTTCTAGGAGATGTACGACTGAGGGGTCAGACGGGGGTTCCTGCTGAACGCCGCGGCTCCTACCCATTCATTGACTTCCGCCTCCTTAACAGTGAGTAATCAAGTGTACCTGGAAAGGAACAAATGTTTCCTTGAAAAAAAAATTCTCATTTCCCTCTGAACTTCAAAACCCTTGGAGGTCCGCCTTCCTTCCTCCATCTCTCCCTGCCCAGTTGCAAATTAACCCTTGGTCTTTAGATTTCCTTAGTAGTGAAGTCATTCGGGCCCTGCCCTACCTCACAGAGCTTCAATGAGGGTCCAGTGAAATCACGCCAGCTTTAGAAATGTAAATCTTGAAAACAGTGAAGCCTGACACGAGGAAGCTATTCCTTTCATTATCCAGGACATTCTCTCCACCTTCAGCCGGGACTAGACTAGAGGAGATTCTATTTTATTTTTAAAACCCCACAGGGTAACCTATTGTACAGCTGCCCTTAGTAACCATCCATTATCTAATTTTACTTGCTTTATCTAATCTAAGTCCTGAGGTCTGTTCTTGCATCCCTGGTAAAACGCTTCACCATGGCGAAGTCCTTTCAGCCTGCACTTGCTGCTGCTTCCTCCAGTATGACTACTTCAGAAGTTCATTTATTTCTAACTTTCCCCTTCATATACTATTCCTCCTTTGGAGATCTGCTCCACCTCTGATTTATAATTCTCTTAATTTCATGTTCCTTTGGAAACCCAAACCAGTACCAGTCACCCCTCCAGATTTCATGTCTTCTAACTGTCACAATCATCCTTCACTTGGGACTTGGGGGTGGGGAATGAAGAAAATGGATAAATTTCACAACTTGCTCCAAGGTTTTCGGTATGTGGTTCTCATAGCGCTTCTCATCCATAAATTTCAAAGTGCTGGGTTGTACCCACAAAATATTACTTTCCTTTGGCATAAACGAGTTCAACTCAAGAGGTAATTTGATTTACCTTGACCCCTGAAAATTACTAGGAGAAATTGCAACTTGCTATTTCTGATCCTTAGATCTGCCAAAGGCCAGTGAAAGATGGACGTGTGTATTTCTCCTGGTTTGTCCATCTCCCATATCACTGTGCAGTATCTGTTTTTTCAGCTCTTTCAGAGACACAGGGATTCGGAGTAACTCTTTTCATACTAGAGACAACTTCCCCCACCCAGACCCAAAAAAATGCATTTTAGAGGATACAGTCGAGTTCCTAGACTAATGCAATATTGGTTACAGCCTATGGGGAGCTCTGATGGTGTCTCTTACCCCGCCTTATAACCCTGAACGCGTTGTTCCAGCTACCCATGGAAGTTATCCTTTTGACAGCCCCTAGCCTGTATGGCTTTCCAGATCCCAGCCATATGGTCCCACCAAGCAGTGCGGGGATAAGCAAGGGTCCAATTCACTGTCTTATATAGACCAGGACTCTCAACGGCATCACATACCTAGGGTCAGAGGCAGAAAATAACCAAAAAGCCTCTTTTCAATAGTAAATGAGATGTTATATCATGGGTCCTAATATACGCCATGAACAAATTAGGAAAATAGGAGACATTTCTCCTTAAAATTCCAAGGTTCCAAATGATAAACTTTTTTTGTTTATCTTAGTGTTAATGAGCAACATCAACTACTAATGATAGTTATTCTTGCAGGTGGGATTATGGAATATTTAACTGTCTACATCTTAGGTTTCTGTAACACTTGGATTTTTTTTAATACTTTGTTTCACTTTTTAAGCTGAAAAAAACTGGAAATTATAAAAATTTGAAGAGAAACTCAATGCAGATAATACTTCGCTGTTATATTATTCACAACATAATATTAGACCATCTGTAAGCAGATGCCATCCTGTCATCCCTCTGCCGTAGGTCCTCCAGGAACTTCCTGGTACCTGGACTCAACCCTAGCCTCCTTCCCCTGACTCTCTGCCCTCCATCCCCATTTCACCTTGCCTGTGGCTCATGACCTCCCACCTGCCGAGTGAGTGTTGGCCATCCATCCTGCAATTCCCTTTCTCCTCTGCTCAGCACTCCACTCTGGATAACTCTTTCACTCGTATTTCTTTATCAGTAACATATGCTAAGGCAATAATAATTTGCCTTCACTGTACTTTGTTTTCTAAGTGGTCTCAATTTTTTTCCCTCTATACAGAAAACCACATCCCAAGATAGACTGCAAGATCCGAAAGGATATTCTCTTTAGAGTTATTGACATCTTAGTAACTCCTGTTAACTGACCAATTAAAGGGTCCCCTTGAAAAGATTATATTAAATAATTATAAATGTCAATCATCCTCTTCCTTTAACCAAACAAATCAGATAGAACTGAAGCCCTCCGAGATTTTTCCTTATTTGTGATACTACCCATTCCATTGTCTAGAACTAATGACATTACTGTGGTCACTCTCCACAGTTTCCTTAGTCTACAGTTAAAACAGATTGTCACCAAGTAGCAGCAGATGTGTGCATATCTATGTTATATAGAGTCACATAAGATATAATACATGTGTCACATCTCCTACTGCCTTATCATATACAGTCTACTTAATTCACTTTGATCTCTTTCATGTCCTTGCTGTGGTTTGCCTGAGTTGTTAGTGTGTGCTTTCTGCCTAAAGGGAAACATTTTAAATATAACTTTATAAAAAATTTGAAATAAACCCCTGAGAATATTTTGAGACTTCCTCCTAAAGCTTTTAGTTTTACCAGCTGATTCCAATTCTACGTGATAAGTGCCAAACTAAAGTGATTTTTAAATGTAATTTACCTTAATTTTGAGTCAGTTTTTTCCAAGAATAGGCACAGACACATTTTCCTCAGGTGCTTGCAGTTCTGCACACTCTCCCAAGGTAGAATCTCATCTAGGACTTTAAAAAAAAAAACGTTTTGTACGAAAAACTGAATCACCATAGCCTCTCGTCCCTGTGTCTGCATCCCTACAGCATTCCTCCTAAAAGGCTTTTTGAAACCTACATGGCTGCCATTCCCTGTCCAAAGTGTCCCTGATGGCTTGCCCTCTACCACCCACCTCAGCTATGCCTTGAATGGCTGAAACATGCCTAAGCAAAACGGTACACTAAGTAGTAAGACCCATTGTACTTCTCCATGGGCCCCACTAGCCACAGCCCCCAACCTGTCACTACAGGACAGGAGACATTCAGAATTCATATCTAAAATAACTTTCCTTCTATCAGAACACAGTCTCCTGATATTCAAACAGAGAACTAGAACAAGGATGGGCAAACGACAGCTCATGCGCCAAATCTGTGTCCCAACCCTGCCTGTTGTTGTCAACAAGATTTGATTGGAATGCAGCCATGCCTATCCATTTATATGTTGTCTACAGCTACTTTCACCCTACAACAGCAGAGTAGTTGCAACAAAGACCATATGGCCCGCAAAGCCCCAAATACTTAGTATATGGCCCTTTACAGAAAAAAGTTACCAATGTTTAAGTTAGATTTTTAATCAGGGTAAAAGAGTTTATGACATCAATATAGGCACATTTAGTCCAGTCTATTTTCCTTTGTTAATGTCATATTTTTTTTCTTTTCAATTCCCAGTGCCATCACGTTACATTAAGAATGGTCTCACATTAACAAAATTTACATGCAGTAGAAGTATAAACAGAAAGGGAAACTCTTGCTGATCCAGATTTTAAACTCCGCAAGTATAATTTCTAAACGCACACATTTTTCTTGCAAGAGGTGCTCCTTTCCCCATATTCTGTGAGGGCATAGTACTGCCATGCCCATGTGCCTGTCATCTACATTTAAGGTGACAATATATACCTGGTTTGCCGGAGATGGTCCTAATTTACACCTGTTGTCTAGGCATACCTATTAATAATGCCACTTTTCAACTCCCAAAACATCCTTATTTGGACAATAAATTACAAGGCCAATGGATTGTATGGTTTTTCCCCCAAAAAGTACTCTGAGACAACACCCCTCCTATGTCACATGCAATCTGAGAATAAAGATCAGAAAATCCTCCTCATAAGAAATTCATCCAGATCAATAGAAACGTGTGAGATAAAATTACTTGTTAATAGCCAGTTTCATGTCCTATTGATATTTCATACAATTTAGAAAAGAGGCATCTATGTGAATTTCTAGAAGCTTCTCTGGATAAGTAGCAGGAAACTGTGACTTCAGCACCATTGTGTGGGACACAGGAATTATAGACTTTTAAAGAAGAGAGTCATCTTTATCTCTAAGCATGGAGGGGCAGAACAGAACGTGAAAAAAAGGGTGACAGTTATTTTTAATCCACATGAGGTTCTAAAACAGAGAACTGGAGGAGGGCAGGAGGGATGGGAATGTAATGGCTCATCTTATCCCCATGCTGATTTCCTACATACTGACTTCATTTACTGACTTTGTTTGGGGGGAAACAAGAGAGGGGAAAATGTAGAGGAGTGTTCGGAGAGACGGGTGGCCAGAGATGAACATCGCAGAAGCAATTACAGTTTCTGCAGAGCAGGTGGCTCCAGTGACCCCTGCTACATCTCTGTCTCCTGGCTTAATATAATCAGGAGCCTGAGTAGATAATGACTAGGTGGAGATGTTCCCGTGGCAACCACTTCAGAGCAACACGATGTGATTTCCACACTGGCTCAGCAAAGGAAGTGACATACAAAACAAACATGCCCAGTGACTGTGGAGCTTGAGAGAAAGAAGGAGCATCAGCTGGAGGTTTTAGGGCACCAGATATCAGCTGCCACAGAGAGCCTGGAGCTCGAGACCAGCCCCGGGGCTGTGCAATAGTAGGTTAATTGGCTATTTGGCTTTTCCTGTCAGTTAATTTGCTAATCTTGATGTTTAAAGTTCTATTCCTCCAGATCTGCCTCTCCAGGCAGGGCCATTTTAAAAGCTGCACAAGCATGAGGTAATTTTAGTAGCACTACCAAAATATTTTCCTTTGATCATTATTTCCAACACAGAATATTTGCAAACATATATATATTGACCTTTTTATGAAGAATTGACCCAGAGACTCAAATGCTTTTTTTTTTAATGCTTTTTTAAAAGCTTCCATCTAAACACATTACACCCTGCAGAAATATAAAATACATTCACAAAATGAGT